TGCTTAGAAAGAATTCCGAATTATCTTATTTAGGCTTCAGTTTCCCAATCAATACTATTTTGTCATGAAAATGTTCTTTGTTTCTCTGTTTCATTTCTTTTTGACTCACCCAGGCAGCCCACCAGTTGCATTCATTGCCAGGTTCCAAAAGTCAATATATATATTCCTCCAACTACCAGTCAGTAAACTAAATGAAAAGATGTCACTGTCAACCTGGATGTTTTCTATCTCTGTGAATCACACCAAAGTCAAAAACCACAAATACTAAGGCAGGTAAGAAATTGAGAGCCATTCTGATTCTTGATTTTCACCTCATATCCAAACTATATGAAACCTTAATTTTATCTTACACAGAGCAAAAAAATCCATTTGTCATGTTCTCTATCATCCTCCCGGTCCCTAGCAGGGTCTGGAATAAGACATGTGCTTAATACAGTAGGAAGAAATAAATCAGATCTGGAAGATACAAAGATTGGAAAGGAAATATTTGATCAAGTCATTTTGTATTAAAAATTCCATTTTCAAAATCTGAAAGTATCATCAACAAAAAAGTTTGAAAACTAACCTGCTATTTATAACAACGGCAGTGAAGTTTCAGGAAAAAAACAACTCTTTCGCACTAAGAGGTTGCTGAATGAAAAGCAATGACATGACAAAATTAGAGATGCAATCAGGAAAGAGAAACCACACAATAATCTGAACTTGCAAAGTTCAATGTACAGAAATTGACTATTAAAGAGGATCAAAGTAATGAGGGATTGGCTAATAAAAATAAAGAGTATGGGACTGACAAATACAAGGAGAATCCAGCTGAAATGGAGCTTCCCCCCACCTCCCAAGACTGAGATGAGGACCTTGTTGGGGCCTGGCTGTGGCTCACTGAATGGCGCAAGAAGTAGCTGTGGGGACTTGCCTGTAGATCTCGCTGGAAATTCTCCCTCTAGGGTGTTGGGGAAAACTTCATTGAGAGGTATTTTACTGGAGGGCCTCCGTGCTGAACTCAACTGAAGTGGGTGCTAGAAATTGCTGGCAGCTGCTAACCACTACGAGGTGCAGGAGCCAGCCACTAGAGAAGGTGTTCAACGCTTCTAAAGCAGGGCAGAACCTGCTGAAAGCACACTGTACCCAGGAAGAAAAACTTTTTCCTCCTGCAATGTCCCTCCAATGCCATCTACTCATAAAGCTTAATATTGTGCCAGCTGGCGACAGAAAAATATTTGAGGGATCCAGTTCCATATCCACAGAGCATGCAAGAAGGATGATTCTGGAGCTGAATTTTATTGTCATAGTCCATCCCTTCGGCTACTGACATATCTGAACTCCATACAATAAAAAACAGCAGCAGCAGAAGTGGCTTTCCCAGCCCCAGGCTCCAGCAGCACAGACAGCTTCATCAACATTCATTTATAACTTACTCCTTTCCTAAGAACCAGTCAGAAGAATAATACAAGCTATCAATAAGGAAATTTCACAACTTGTTCATAGTTCACCTAAGCTTAGCTAAAGTGAATCCTTTTCATACAAAGACAGTTTTTGTTTGTTTGTTTGTTTGTTATTAAAGAATACTAACTATGGCACTAGATGACCTTCGTTAAAACCCCAGGTCTATCTCTTTTAACTGCAGAGCCTTAAACAAGTTACCTAAAGTTCGTCTCTGTAAAATGGGGAGAAATCTTTCTCATACAGCTGTTGTAAAGACTAAATCAACTAAACTCTGAAAAACACTTAGACCCTAACCATGCATAAGTCAGCATTTTCTACAGAGTTGAAGTTAGCTTATTTTCTGTCTCCCCACACTAGAATGAACACTCCATAAAGGTAAGGAGGATTTGTGTGCTTTGTTCCCTCTTTATCCTCACCACCTACAAAAATTCCTGGCACAGACAGGTGCTCAAAAATATTTAATAAACCACAGATCACAAACCCTTCTATATTAAAAGACACGAGTGGTGGGGTGCCTGGGTGGCTCAGTTGGTTAAGCACCTGCCTTCTGCTCAGGTCGTGATCTCAGGGTCTTGGGATGGAACCCCACATCTGGCCCTCTGCTCAGTGGGGAGCCTGCTTCTCCCTCTTCCTCTGCCCATCGCTCTGCCTACTTGTGCTCACTATCAGATAAATAAAATCTTTAAAATAAATAAATAATTTATAAATAAGAAATTATTTATAAATAATTATTTATAAATAAATGAATAAATAAAAGATACAACTGGCAACTCTTCAAAGCCCTAATGTAATAAAGACTTAGAGTTTAGTAACCAAGAAACAACAGGGGGAAAAAAATCGAAGAAAAAAATTATACCAATCTATTTTTTTTTTTCAGGGAGGGGACCGAAGGAGAGAGAATCTTAGGCAGGCTCCATGTCCAGCACAGAGCCCTATACTGGGCTCCATCTCACAACCCTGAGATCATGACCTGAGCTGAAATCAAGAGTCAGACACTTAACCAACCCAACCACCCAGGTGCCCCACCAATCTCTTCTTTAATAAGACCAATTATCTGCAACACGTTTCTTCAGTGTTTTAATTTGGCATTTACCAGGCATGTGGCCCAGAAAAAAAATCATTAGAACCTCACTTTCCTCTTTTGAGGGGAAAAAAATAACTACTAAGAACACTGAAACATTTTTTTTCTTTAAATAATGCATATAACAGCATCTAGGACAAAGTTTATAATCTACTGAATTCAAACATTACCTAAGGCGACCTCTGGTTTTTCAAGTTTGAGCAGTATGCAAAATTAGCTTTCACTGTGCACTTGACCAAGCTACACTAAACCTAAAATTATTCTAAAGGTGTTTTAGAAAAAAGAGATATGGTATGGTTTAAGTTTCATCAGTATGGCCAATTCTGCAATCCCCTAAATTCTTCCTTCCAAGAGTTTATGTGAAAAGGACATAGGACTGTGCTATGTATCTTCTGAAGGTAAAATAAAGCATCCAAGATACATCTGACATATATAAAATATATGACATATATAAAATATATGAGATTTCCAAGTTAAAAGAAACAAAAAGACCACCAAGTATCTGACATTAGATTTAATAGTGAATATTTTGAAAAGTGACCCTACTGATGACAACCACATCATTTAGAACAGTTTATTCACATTTTCACAATATTTTGACATCTAAATTTCTAAAACTTAACTCCATTAGTTCCTCTATTTATTTCCCAACACTGATATAAGTGTCCAGTCAAAAATAACCACAAAATACAGGCAACAAGACACTGTTATTAGCAATTTTTAGTAGTAACGATGCAGTAACATCCTCATTATTTACCTACCTACAAGGAGGTTTTGGCAAAGCTCTAATTCCTTCTTAAGTTACAAACACAAATAATTTTATCACTGACTCGAAACAGAAAGTGGAGATACCTCATTCTTCTTGCAGGACTACAGTTCAATTGACAAGCGATATAAATTTCATAAATTTGATAGACTGAAATACTAGCTTTGCTAAAAATAATACAAAGATTAAGGAGCTTAAAACTAGAATAGATCCTATCTACTATTCACACTGCCAATTTCACAGCCATGTTAGGTTTTCATTCTTGAGACCTAGAGATTACCTTTTCAAGACTTGTAGGCTCCACAGTCACTGAGTCAAGATCCCTGGTGTTCTATACTGAGAACATCTAGACCCAAATAAACGACTGGAGTTCACTTCCCCTCTTCCAACAAAAAAAGCTAGCCAGAGACAGTGCCATTTAAAACTGGTTTTCTCTATGAAAAATCCCCATATCAGAAAAATCATTTGAAATACTGCTCTTCCACGGAGTATCATGTGATCTATACTACTTTTTTTTTTTTTTTTAATCATACACAAGTTTAGTTCAGCTCCTCTCCCATCACCTTATAGGAGCAGCTGGATCATGAAGGAGAAATGAGGATATCTTGTACATAACAGATGCCACCACTCATTTAAGTCTTTATTGGAAAACTTTGGGATGTGACACCAATACCTGCTTACCTGAGAGAAAAGCAAACTAAGTTACTCACAGCAAAAATGATGAATCACCCAACTTGACTAGAAAAGAAACAAATGGACATGACTAACTATCCTGTATCTCAATGACTATGGAGTCTTCTGTTAAAGTTCTATCCTCTTTCCTCAGTTCTAGACACTCATTTTGTAACAAATTCTAATAAACCTGATAGGCATTTTGAGGCAGTGTTTGAGTTCTGATGAACTTAAGCATCCCTATATAATATAGGTGACTTCCCAGTTACCTATATTAACAAATATTTCATATGGAAAGTTTTCAAATGGTTCCGGTTTAACACTTCAACATTTTTAATCCAGCCCCCCCCCCAAAGAGCCTCTACTTAAATAATCAACACAAATATAATCTTAGGCTTAACCTTACGCACAAATATAAACATGGAAAAAGGAGCGCGGTCCATCACCAATCAGGATGCATTAGTCTCCCCAAAGCGGGGTGGCGGGGGAGAAGGGGGAATGGAGGTAAAGGGAGGGCTCATAAACTGAGGTGTATTCGACAAGAGCGATTCCTCATGTTTTCCGCATTCTGCAACCCTCCGTCGCTCAGTGTTGCGGCTCGGGCCATGACCTATAACCTTCACCCGAGAGCCAGAATTTCTCCGTGGTTTCCAAACCCAACTGCTGGAGGACAGAGAGCTACAGGACAGGACAGGCCGTTCCACTCAGGGACGTCCGACATGGGGCAAGAAACCCTTTCGACTCCAATCGAAATCGGAGCAATGGGTGCATTGGCAGAATGGATTTTTCAAGAAGAGCCCTTAAGATAAAAACAAAACAAAACAAAACAAACAAAAACCACTCCCGAACTCGGGAGTGGGAACTGAACAGACCCAGGACCCGCATCCACGCTGCCGGGACCCTCCGCGGACCCCGGGCGCGACCGCACTGCCCACAATCCGGAAGTATTCGGAGACCCTCCCGCCCCCACCAAACACACCGCGCCAGCCAGGGCTGACCCTCTCCCCCACCCGTACGCCCTCGGCCCGCGCCTCTCACCCTGGTGATTGAAGAGTCTCCATATCCTGGTGAAGAGAATTCCCATTCTTGGGCAGCGGACCCCCCCTCCAGCCACCCGGGCCGCCTGGCCTCCCCCGGCTCAGACTGAAGGGGAGGCAACAGACGCGCCGGAGCCTCCGCCTCTGCTACTGCTGCTGCTCCCGCGCTGGCCGCCAGTTCGCTTCCTGGGAACCGGAGGGAGGCCGAAGCCCAGGCCGCCCTGCCGCGTGCGAGGCCCCGCCGCTGCCGCCGCGGCACTCGCCTGGCTCGCGGACATCGCCGCCGCGTTGTCTGCGACGAGCCTCGCCAGCCACCGTCCTCCCCCAGCTCCTCCCGGGCGGCTGCGGCGGCGGCGACCACGCGGGCGGGGGAGGAGAGAGGCGAGACGGCTGGGACGCGAGGGCGCAGGCGCGCGGCCAGAGGGGCGGAGCCTGGGGAACGGCGCCCGCTTAGGTCTCTCGTATTTGTGTACCGAGGCTACCTGTAGGCTGCGGGAGTGAGCGCGGGGATCGAGGTAGTTCGGGCTGTGGTAATGACAGATCCCTCTTGCCTGCTTGTTTTAACGTCCTCGCCAGCTTTTCCCCGGCATTTCCTCGGCAGAGCCATAATGTAAATACGTTGAGTGCCTAATGCCCATCCACGGTCTTTCCTACGCACTACACCAGAAGTTCCACTTCTTGCCCTGCAAGGGGTGGGGATCTATGAGGGAAGCTTCACGTGTCTCCAATCGCCTGTGCCGGACCTCAGCTGAAGCCAGTGGCGTTCTCTACACTATCACTTAATCACTTAGAGCAGTCGCCTTACGGAAGTCTCTCTACCTCAGGGTTCGTCCCTTTCCCATCTCCCTCCACTTTCAAGTCCATCTTGCCCCTAACCACGATTTTGATCAAGTCCTCCTATATTAAAAAATACTAAAACTGTTTGAGTAGAAGAGTCCAAATACCTTAGAAAATCTTTTTCTCCAGAATACGGCCCCAACTAGCCTTTCCAGCTGCAATTTCCATTATTCCAAACTGGTTAAACACCTGGTCAAATACTCTTTGCCCTTCCAGTCTTCTTGCCTGTACACCTAGAATCGCTATGTCTCATGCTAGGCAAGTGTCACGGTGTATTTAATCAACCTTCTGCTATGGGATATCAAGTTGAAAACTAGAACAGTGAATCGTTAGGTTCCGTGATACCAGAGTTCTACTTCCATGTGGTGCTTTTTGGCTAGGCTTCTATTTTCGCAAATGGAGAAGCAGTGGGTTTGTCTCTAAGGTCTTGCTTTGATTCTAGGTCATCCGATGACAAGGTCATCTGATAATCTGATAATTAGTCTCTAGTCTGGTTAAAGGCAAAAGGTGGGTGGGGGGAAGACTTAGGTGTTTACTTCATTTTCACAAAGAAATCTGAACAGCTCCATCCCTTCTATTCTCCTAAATCTTGGTAAAAAAGGTAGAGAAAGAAGTGGAGAAGCTGTAAAAGGCATTTTGGATTGTTCTGACACTCCGACCTCAAAAGCTGACATCTTTTCACCCCACATCTACTAGCCATAAAGTATCTTATCTCGATATATAGGAAAATACAAGTAAGGCCCTGAGAGTCTACAGTTCTTCTTAACTGAGCTAGAAAATTTGTACCTGTAAAGCAAAGGGCAATATTGATGACTAAAACGTGTCTCTTTTTGAACAACTGTGCAAGAAAAAGTCCTTTGATTTTTGGGGGCTTACAGTTGAAAAGCCAGAGTTAGAGGGGTCGTATAAAGGGAAAGAAAATTACTATATTAATCTATTTTATGTTATGTTTATATTTACATAATAAAGTACTCTCTAGGCTTTTAGAAGAGCAAAGGTATTGTTTGCATAACTAATTTACATCAACTCTTTAATATTTCCATTCTTGCACACTGCAGGTGGTGATTTTAGCAGTTCTAAGACATTTTGCAAACTCCCCACATATCTCTGTCCACTTATTAAATGGTTGTCATATCCATATTAACTTGCAAAGTTAGGGCTTGGTCTCCCAGATTATTTTGTAAGTGTCTCTCAAAAAAAGGTAAAAGAATAAAAGGGGAATTTGCCTAATGCAATATTGTCCAAGTATAGAATCTATGTATGGAATACAAATATGGAACTACTATGGAAATAATTGGAAATGTTTGTTGAGTGGTACAAAGCTATTTGTGAAAATAAACTACTTATAAAAATTTTTTTAAAGACTAATTTATCCATGATTATAGTAGTGTGCAAAATGTCATTAAAGAGACTTCTGCTTCGGGGCGCCTCAGTGGGTCAAAGCCTCTGCCTTCAGCTCAGGTCATGATCCCAGGGTCCTGGGATGGAGCCCCACATCGGGCTCTCTGCTCAGCAGGGAGCCTGCTTCCTCCTCTCTCTCTCTGCCTGCCTCTCAGCCTACTTGTGATCTCTGTCTGTCAAATAAATAAATAAAATCTTTAAAAAAAAAAAAAGAAAGAGACTTCTGCTTCGAGGTACAAGAGTAGATGGTCTAGACTTGCCCTCCTATCACTAATAAGAAACTGGATAAAATATAGAAACCAACTGTTCTCAGATATTGGACAACACAGAGCATAGGATTGTGATCCCTGATAAGAGACACACATGAGATGAGTCTAGCCATTACCTGGATTTTCTGCCTGGAGGCAATTCCTAGCCAGGGACAGAGGGGGTGGGAACTCAAATTGAGTCAAGCATGGCAGTCTCCTTAAGTTGAATCAGTGCTGGAAGAGATCAAGGTAGCTAGAATTTGTGAAGCAGAGCAGCTGAGAGGAGGGAGCACTACAGAGAAAAGCTCCAGAAACCCACTTGGTTTGAGCCATTGAGTCTTCGGCTGCATATCAACCTGTACCTGTCCAGAAACCTCATGAGGCTGGCCAATGGCAATTTCTAAGAAAAAATAAATACTAGGGAGCTGTGAAACATCATAATTCCTAGAGCTCACTAAGGATCACAAATCATTTGGAGTTCCCTTCAGTCAGAGTGAAGAGTACGCACTACAGAAATGGGACATTCAGTATTTAGCCCAGAGACCTTAGAAGGGGACTAAGAAAAAAGTCCTACTCTAGACCAGTCCTAAAGGAGCTTCAAAACAAACCGTGAGAGGCTCAAACTCATCTACAACTGCCTGTCAAAATCAGTCCAGCATTCTTTAGAGATCAAGTCATCCACAATGGAAAATTTACAATATAGCGAATCCAATAACAAAATTACTGGACATACAAAGAAACAAGAGAAAGTGACCTGTAATCACAAGGAAAATTGCTCTACAAAAACAGATTGAAGTTCAGGCAAATTAAGTGATTGCCCCAAGCTAAAAGCTGGTTACTGCCCGCTCTAGGCTTTGAACAGTGGCAAGAGCTACAGCCTACAGTCTAACCGCTATACTAATCTGCATGTTATAAGACAGGATAACAAGATGTTTCTCCACAACCCATCCTAGTAGAAGAGCTGTTGATGACCAGAGAGGTGGCTTTAGGCATATGGCCAGGTTGAAGGAGTCCCTTGCAGTGAGCTGCAATTCTTCCATTTGGGAGTTTTGGATTGTGGGTTGAAATGCCTTGATAGGACAGCCCTATATAATATTTCTCTAATAACAAAAGTACCATTCATTCAGTCAACATTTACTGTATTCCCAGCATTGTTTCATATGCCAGCTTAAAAGCATTTGATATATGTATATTTAGGTAAGAGTGCTTTGCAGAAAAAAGTTACAACGATCTTTGGTTTCCTCATTTGTAGTTGGGTCTAATAATCTCTGCCCTATCTTCCAGGATGGCCAGATGGATTAAATGAGATAATGTTTGTGAAATAACTTGGCTGTAGTAAGTCACCACATAACGTTAATTCAAGGATAATAATCAACACAGTACACGTTTCTTTTGAACTTCTTGTGCACTGCAGTGAGAAAAAAGTCAAATGTCAATCAAGTGATAGCATGGTCACCTGACACTGAGCACATGAAATACCAAGTCATAAGTTATATGCCATCCATGGAATGCTTATGGGTACAGGATACCTTTGGAAAAGTCTGATAACTCCTACATTCATCATTTAGGGATTTCTAGTTTATCTAGCTTATTTTTCTATATTGTATTCGATCCTATTTGTACATATATCTTAATATATTCTGTTTTGGGTGTGTGTCTTTAATTTACACACTCTTCCTGATATGATACTCTTTTGCAACAATCCATAGTACCTAGCAGAGTATTCAGGAAATCATCACTAAATTGAGTCTGGGCTGTGAGAGCAAATGTTTACTTTTTTTCCCTGCACAGGTATAGGAACATACCTCTAAAATAATATAAATATCTCTAGAATAATATAAAGCAGAGTATAACGCTGGTTTCGGTATTTTCTCATTTATTATATAAAAGAAAAAATTAATGCAATTGGTTTGTACACATTTAAATTCCATAAAACAAATCCATAGAAATTAGGATACTCTATGCATGCACTCTGCATTTTCTTTGTTAAATGTTTTTGTTCACAAAAATAACAACACATTTTTTTCTTTAAAGCCACTAAAGCAGAGGGAGAACAAAACATGCAGCACTGTACACATTTGCATAGTATATTTTACCCAGCATGCCTTGTAGAATGCTACACATTTACCTATATAAGAAAAATGAAAGGGTGTAAATTATTAAAATAAATAACTAAAATTTAAAGAAAGGAAAAAATTATTTGACAAAGGCAATATTTTTTTTCCACTTTGTGCCTGGAGATATAGCAATAGCTTGGGATATCAACAGCTCTCAGAATAACTGGTAAAATCTTTTCACATCAGCTTGCCTTATTTATTTTTAGTATTAATAAAGTTACGGTATTCCCTCCCGCCACCCCTTCAAAAAAAAAAAAAAGCTAATAGCTTTAACTTATGTTTCAAAATAGTATTCAGTACAAAACAAATGAAAGAATCCCTAAATACTTTACTTTTATGTTGTTGTTGGGACATCTTTATTTATCATTCTGACTTTAGGCTGTGAAAAATATAAAGCATTTCAAACATGTCCAAAATTTAGAGGAGCCGTATGAGCTCATGTACCATTAGTTTTTGTAGTTGTTACTGAAGGAGCAGAAATAAGAACAGTAAATATAGTATGAGTCTTATCACAAAATAACATTTAATAAGTTTTATGCAAGGGAATAAAGTAAAATAAATTACATCAACAGATTGCAAGGCTATGAAGTAAATTGCTGGAAAAGTATCAAGCAGCAAGTTAAAAAGATGGTAGATGAAACAAATCTGATAAAACTTAGAATTAAATCTATATACTTTTAAAAAATACGACTGCCAAATTTAACAGTGGATTTTGTTGTAAGTTTGTGCTATAACAAATGTGATTCTTT